TCCTGGACCCTCCGGTCTGCCCAGCGAGATGGCTGGCCAACATCCTCTCAATGGCCCTCCTCTTGATTCCCAAGGCGATGCCCCTGTTTTGTTGAGCCCAGGCCCCAACATTCTCGGGTGGATACCTCGCCGCTCTGCAGCATCCCCCCCCCCCCCCCGCCAGCTCGGGGATCCTGTTGTGTCTATCTCCTGACTCTGGAAGGCGAGCTGGGCCAGCTAGTCCTTGGCCCTAATGAGACGGAGGTCGTGGCCTTGAATCCCCAAGAGGCTCCACTGGGGAAACGTCCTGGTCCGCAGGCTGCCTCACCCCCTACCGTGTGGATCCCAGGGGCTTGGAGCGCCACCGTTAGGAGCTCTGCGTTCAGCCGCATGTTTACCGGGCACTCAACTCTGCACGGACCTGGCTGAGGGCTTTACACAGATGGTCTCACTTAATCCTCAGGGACCCTAGGAGGTAGGTGCTGTAGCGTCCCCATTTCGTGGAGGAGAAAACCAAGGCTTAGAGAGGAGAAGGGAACTTACCCACAAGTAAATGATGGGACTACAATGCCATTAGCCCTGAACGACACACATTAATAGAGGCAAACAGGAATGAATCGAAAACATGCAGAGAATGAACATTCTTGGGAATGTTTTAGATCAGCGGAAGGGCTGTGTGCTAATAAAACTTTATTTACAAAACAGGTAGCTGGATAGATGTGGCCAGGGGGTTGGGGTTGTAGCTGACCTCCCCTTCGGCCCCCTTTTATTTCAGTTTCTATACTAATTACATTATCTTGGCAATGGCGGGGGTGGGGGGATGGGACAGAGAACTAATGCTTCCTTGACCCTATTTGTGCCAGGCTCTGGGCCAGGTGCTCTGACCTGTCAGCACGTGAGCGTGGAGACACCTTTCCTAGGTTAGTGCCACTCCGCTTGACCACTCCTCTGTTTAACAGGGGATGAGCTGAGGCTCAAGGATGCTACCTTGCCTGACACCTGGGCGGAGGAGCTGGCTTCAAACCGCTCCCAGTCTTCCCCTTTCTACTGCACTGCAGCTGCTCAGGTAAGTTTGTATCAGACCAGAGGGAGGTGTCTCAGAAGTGGGGAGGCAGCGTAAACCCGTCTTGGATTTAATCCCTTCCCCTGTGCACATCTATCCGAGAGCCTGCTGCGGCCACAAGAATGAACTCACCAGTTCCGCAAACTCACTAGAACTTCTAGCATCACCTCGACCTGTTCCCCAAACCCACCGCTAACCACCATCAGCCTGGCATTTAAAGTCGGTCCCACGACTCCTAACAGCACCGCCAGGCAATGAGTGACTCAACCAGCAACCAATCACACGCAAGTGAACAGAGTTCCGAGACCCAACGGGAGTAAAGGGCCATGTAGCTCCCCGGCCACATTCTCTCCACCAACAGGCCAGGGTCCTGCCTTGCATTCCAAGGCCACTCCTGTGAGAGGCGGGAGATGGAGCACAGGAGGGAATCCAGGAAGGACTCCTGGTTCTAGAACAAGCCCCAACCACAGTCAAGTCCCCAGGAAATGTGCCCGGCTTCCACCAAGGCACTGGCTGAAAATGCCTGACGTTCATGGCCTGAACAGCCGTGAGGTGGGTGGTGGCCAGTCTCACAAGCTCTGCGTGGTCTGGGCCCAGGAGCAAGTCTATAGCACAGTATCTGTTTGTTTCGGGGCAGGGAGGGGGACAAGAAGTATGGGAACTTGTTATGCAAACCCTTTCTCTGCGTCCACCCGCTGGGCCACCCAGGCCTGCAGCTTGAGAAGATAGACCCAAGGTGAAGAAGCACGAACTTTCTCCCCAGGGAGCACCAGCCTGTGTCACCCAGAGCCCTCGAAGGCTGGGCTGGTGGGCATCCGGCCTCGGGGCCGTGGGCAGAGGGGCGAGGCCGCCTACCTGAGGAGACAGGCCGTTGCTGACGGGGTTCATGTGGTTGGAGGGCGCCGCTGCGTTCATGAAGCTGTCGGAGTAGCTGGAGAAGCTGTGGCGGGCTCCATAGGCGGAGCTGGTGTCCGCGGCTGCGGCGGCCACAGCCAGCCCTCCCTGGTGCATGGTGGACGGCGGGAGGGGCTGGGGCCGGTGCACGGTGCTGCCCCCATCTGTGGAGAGACCCAGGAGAGGGCTGAACAAGTGGTCTCGCCTGGAAGGGGGGCCTCCCAGGGAGGGAAAGAGCCTCCTGTTTGGAAAGCGAGCTGTGGGCCTCCTCCTCCCAGTGCCCATCCAGTGGAATGAATCTTCTCTTGAAAGGGGACAAGCTGGCTTCTGGGCAGGGCACTAGGGACTGGCTAGTCTGGACAGACAGCCAACCAACTTGCCAGGCCACCTCTAGGCGACTGCACCGGCCCTGCAGCTCAGCGCCTGGCACACATTGGGTGCTCGCTCAGTAACTCGTCTGGACTGAGTCAGACCCCCGTTAACCTATCCAGGCATGTCCTGATAGCATTTTTTTGAGTAGCAACCACCTGCCAGGTGCGTTTACAAACACTAAGGATATGAAGCAAGACTATGGTTCCCATTTTATAGGTGAAGAAACTGAGGCTCGGTGGGGCTGGGGCACTTGTGCGAGGTGACAGGCTAGTGCAGCCGTGGGCAAACTACGGCCTGCGGGCCGGATCCGGCCCGTTTGAAATGAATAAAACTAAAAAAAAAAAGACCGTACCCTTTTATGTAATGATGTTTACTTTGAATTTATATTAGTTCACACAAACACTCCATCCATGCTTTTTTTCCGGCCCTCTGGTCCAGTTTAAGAACCCATTGTGGCCCTGAGTCAAAAAGTTTGCCTACCCCTGGGCTAGTGAGCGGTGTGGTCAAGGTTTGCACCGCTGTATCTGTTCCTAGCTGCTCGGCTGCAATTCCACTCTGTCAGGGCCCCCTGTGCAGCCTTCCAGCGGACGGAACCATCATCCTTGGCAAAGGTTTAGTTTTTCATCAAGAACCTGAGAAGTTCCCCCTGCTTCTCTCCTCAGCCTCCAGAGCTCCAGCCTGCCAGCCCTTTAAGAGGAGGCTACTGGGGCTTCATGAAGCAGATCTCAGGTAGTGAAATTCCTACTGTGTGCTGGGGGGGGGGGGGCGGGGGGGGGCAAGGGGAGGGCAGAAGCGGAGACAGGATCCAAGGAGGGAGGGGAGGAACCTTTCTCTTCCTACAAAGCTCACCTTCTCTTCTGCATCTTAATAAGAAGACCCAGGAGATTCCTGCGACTTAGCAGGTTGAGAAGCTCTGCTCTCAATGTGGACCTGGAGGTGACCCTGTTAATCCTCACTGGATGCTCCGTGGCAGAGCCAAGAAGTTCAAGGGCAGGACCTCACCTTTTTGTCTTAATAGTCTGCCCTTGTGGAAGCTGGCAAATGGTCATAACTATACAACCCTTGTTATTCCTTCTTTGTTAAGGAAGGAACGGGTGGGCGGAGGAGAGAGGGGCAAAGGGCATGGCTAAGATGCCAGGACAGGGCTTGGGCACTCACCTTGGGAAATGGTGGTGGTGGGGTAGGTGGAATCCGGCAGCTGGTAGGGGGGCAGCGTGGGCATGCGGTGGGCGGAAAGCCCCGGGCAGAAGGTGGTGACGCTGCCAGCTGATTGCTCCTGCCTCGCTTACGCCACGGGCACGGCGGTTACTGAACCAGACCTGTGGGGTCGAGAGTGGAGAATGGAGCCCTCAGCCTGGCTCCTGGCGGAGAGCTGAGACTTAGCTAGAAAAATCCTCGCCC